CAGAAATAAGGCTAAGAAATAGCTCTGATGGAAAAATAAAGAAAAATGTATTTCTATCACCATAATGAAGACTCAACCTGTTGTTATGATTCATTAGTGCCAGCTAAGAGAGGGAAAGATGGTGAGTGTAGCAATACAATGAGCTTTAGCTGCATTTTATCCCTGCATGCAGCCTGGATGGATTTCTGCCATGGTGTCCTGCTGGGACCATCAGTGACCATCAGCCACCAGGCACGAGGCTCCATTCCACACCCAGCATCTCCAAACCCAGATTCCACACCAGAATCAGCACCTCCCAGCACTCCACACCCAGCTGTCACCACAGAACTACACTTGATTTAGCATGTGAGAGCACAGCTAGTGATGACCCACATGAAAGGAGTGCTAGGAGGGATCTCAGAACAGCCCAACCACACTGTACCCTGCCTGGCATGGGTGCAACACCATTCTGTGTGTGCCTTTCTGTTTGGATAATGTTCTTCAAAAGCAACTACAAGGCTATTAAACTGCACCAAAAAGCAGTTTAAAGAGCTGTCAGGATGAAAGCGGCTGCACTTCCAAATGGGGCTCAAGGTCTGGCACATGCCTGCTCATCAGAGATGCTCACCAGCACCTGAGCAAATGCCAGGAGAACATCACTTCATTGAAAACTCAATTTTCACAGCAAAACAGCACAAATGGCCCATTTTCACTGAGCAACCTGTGTCTCTGGGATGAACACAGTGAGCAGAGCCCAGCAGAGCAGAGGGGAGTGGTGGCTGCCTCTGATTAATGCCATCCCAGTGCCCCAGTCCCCTGCCAGGTCCCAGCAGAGCCCTAAAAATGGAGTGTGAGCTGTGGAAACACCACCTACCCCAAGCCAGCAATGCAGGCCCTGGAGCACAGTGTCCTCAGCTCCTGCCATGGCACAGGCACCAGCTTCTTGGATTCATGAGCAAGGTGAGTGCTGCTCACAAAGCATCAAGTGGACAAAGAAATAACAATATAAATGCAATGAAGACCCACAGTGAAAGGCAAATGTGCCTTACATAGGCAATCTGAAAAGGTCACCAGAATGTTTGTGGCAAGGATACAAGTATTTTTTGACTCTGAACAATGAGACCAAAAGGTAGACAAGGAAACCACTGTGATACCACCCCAGGGAGTGAATAAATACTGCCCCAGACCATGAATTAGCTCCAAACCAATTGTGCTCTAATGAAATCCTCTACAATACAGCCACCAATTCACACACCTCAGCGTCATCAGTAGAACAGGCTGTTAATTAATGTTTTTCTGGAACACTTTTAAAAGTTGAGCTCTCAAACTATCATTCCTCTCCTGCTCCCTCTGGACAGCCTTTACAAGGCAGATAAAAGAGGAACATCCTGTCCCCAACCACACAGCACTGGAGGAGATTTCAAAGACAAAGATCAATGCCTCATCTTCTGATTTTTGGCATGGATCTTATAATTCAGGGTTATTTCTTACTTGACAATTCCCAAAAGCACATTTTGCTTATTTACAGAAAGACAGGAATTAACAACAGCTCATGACATTTTTATTTTAATGAAATTTAAAAAGGCAGTTATTAGTTATACATACACACAACTGATTCTGTACTTGTTAGTCATAAATATAGAACATTCAGAAGTACAAAATACACTTTATCCACAGCACAATTTCACATCAATATGAAGAGTTTAAACAGATACGTAACCAAGTGCCTAACAATGACAGAAGCCCATTTTTGGAGTTGTTTCCCTTTTTTTTTCCTTTCCCTTTCTTTTTAAAAGACCACTAATCTACACAAAGTAATCAGTGCCCACAGTCATCAGTTTCATGAAATGCACTCTGGTTTAGAGTGGGAGAAGTCTGACCTTTTAAAGACAATTAGATGCCATCACCTTTTCTTTGCTCCATTAACAGCAACAAGCCCAAGCCCACATTCTCTTCTTCTCACAGTTAACAACTGTGAAAAATGGGGCTCTGGCAAAAATCACCTGAAGCCAAACTTGAGCACTGCCAGGAAAAGTGAAAATATCTGAACTAGAAATTAGTCCACTCGATACCTTGCAAACAAAGAGCAACAGCAGTATGACACCAATAAGGCATTAATGACAAAATGGCTGTATTATTCTTGAAAAAAGAGTACACCTATGTATAAAAATATATGTCATAGCAATTGGTAAATCCAACACTATTTAACACTGTGCCAAAAGTAATTAAGAGTTAAAAAGGCAGTTCTGCAAGAAGTATTTACAGTTTCATACTGTACTTCAAAAGAAAAGAAAAGGCAACAAAGCTACAAATGGAACTATCTGGTTAAAGCATCACTGTAGGTACTGCCAGTAGCACTTGTACAAGTAATGTGATGGAGTCTTGGATTGTTCTGAATAAATGAATATAAATATTTTAGTATGTAAAAACTGTCTCAGTCTACATGTCTGCTCCTTGAAATAACTCACCCAGACCATCATTGTTTGCAGTTTCCTGCTCCATGAGTTTAAAACCCAGAAAATTCAGTTTCAAGAAACACTGTGTTTGCAACAGTTCGATCAGAAATCACAGCTTTATTTCCAGCTTAGAAAAAAACCCACAAAAGGAATGAGAAATCCACCACCTATGAAATTCTGGAAATTGGAAGCCAAAGTGCCAACAAAGCTACACTGAGAGCACGTAATAAAAACATCAGCATTCCCAATGCACCTTGTAACTGCAGCTACAGGGTAAGCTAAGTGAGGAAACACAAGATACAGCACAGCCAAGGCTACACAGCTCTGTCAGCCACAGCACCTGGGGGCTCTTGGGGAGGAGCAGGCAGGATACAGAGGGGCCAGGGCAGAGCCTCACCTGCAACAAAGCCTCTCCTGCAGCATGAGCAAAGTCTCACTTGCAGCACAGCAAAGCCTCACCTGCAGCACAGCAAAGCCTCACCTGCAGCAAAGCCTCACCTGCAGCAGTTCTGTCTCAGAAGCACCAAGATGCCAAATTCAAGGATTGCTCCCTCCTCGTGGCTGGGAATGGCAGCCCAACACCTCCCACCTGGGCCAGGAATGGCAGAGGAGCAGGGCAAGGGTGGAAATGCCAAGAGTAAAGAGCTGGCTCGGGATGGCACAACAGAAACAGCTGACAGGGAAAACCCAAACCTGGCACTGCCCACACGGCCCTGGACAGAGCAGCCATCACCTTCCCCAACCAGGAAGGAGCCCACAAGGTGAGGAGCAGTCCATGCTCTGATCCCTCAAGCATACTGACTTCAAAAAAACAACAAGAAAAAGAGAGATGTGCTTAAATTTCTTCTAACAGTGCACTTTGAACTGCGCAACCAAAATCTGTGCATGGGAAGCCTTCTTCAGTAGTAAAAAACCCACAGCACACTGAGGAAGTTATCATTGCTGATGTCAGGAGAAAGAAAATGACTTTAAAAACCTTATTTTTAAATTGAATTAAGGAAGTAAAATAAACTATAAATATACTCAGAGCAGTTTGGTGGGTAAAATAAAACACAGGAACAGCACTTTTTAGCTGAATTCATTATTCACTTTATGGAAAAATTTATAAAAATTTCAGAAGAACTGACATTTATCATGTCAAGCATCTTCTGTGGAGAGACACAAACTGCTCACCTACTGCTCCCTCCCTTATAAGCAGCCCCTTTCAAAACCCTGCATAGACAATGAGCACCTCACTACTGGTGCAGCACCCAGGCACCTGTTAGAGACACCAGTGAACTTTACAGCAGAACTTCCTTTGCCTCTCCAATTCCATGAGCAGCATGAGGGGAAAGGGGGATGGCTCCAAGAGAATAAACATCCATGTATTTAAAAGCAAAGTGCATAAGCACATGGCTTGCTCACCTAAGATGGTATTTTCCAGATCTCTGGGGGAGAAGAGATAGGAAGATTTTTGTTTGTTCTCAGTGTGATTTGGTGAGGCCAAGTGCAGACCAGGAGATCTGAGGCCTCTCCAGTACCTCATCTAGAGATATACAAAACTGTCCTAAAAAAAAAAAGACCCCCTAGCCCCACTTGCACATAGGGTAAGAGATTGGTCCCAGATTTAGTGAGAGAAATAGAAAGGAGGACTTTTCCTGGCTACTGAACATGACATGCTGATCTGGGAGAAGGCTGGGACAGCCCCATCAGTGCCAGCCCTGTCCCAGGCCAGGCTCACCTGAACCCTGCCTGGCCACAGCAAGGCCTGCCTGCTCCCCAGGACCTCACCCCAAAATATGGACTGTGGTGATGAGCACCCTGTCCCCACTGAGACACACCCCAGAGTTTGAGAGGGGCTATGAGAGGGCAGAGCTCAATCCTGTGAGGTCTAAGAATGGCTGCACACACTGAGACCTGGATGGGGCTACGCCCTGGGGCTGCTCTTCCCAGGTCCTTGATGGCCCCTGAATGTCCAAAAGCTGAGGGAAGCTGCCCCTTCCTCCTCTGCACCCAGCCTCAGAGGTTATGAACAACCTGCATGCAGGAACTTGGGGCTTTGTGAGTGATTCTTTGTGCTCCCATCCCAGAAGAAATGATCGGGATAAAATCCTTAAAATCCAACCTCTGTAACTCATCACACACATGAAATACTGAACAAAAAGATTCCTACCACATCTCTCATGAAGATAGATGGCAGGTGACTCGCCCAAGAGGAAGGTGATTAACTTACCTCTGTGGAAAAGCATACAGCATTCAGAGCAGTCAAGAGACCTCAACAAACCTGGTATGCTGAAAATCCCATTTTTAACAGAACAGGGTTAACAGAAGCATTTGCTTGGGAATCCAAGCAAAAATTCAAGTTATCACTATGTATGCAGTGGACAATAGTCCAATCAATATCTATTACCAACTCACTTTAAAAAAATTATACACTACAAAACCATCTCACTGCTCGCAGCAAATGAGCTTGAACAATTTCCTAATAACAGGCCACCACCTTCCACTGTTAAAATGTGAGGTTTCACAGTATAAAAAGTACTTCACAGAAAGGAAATGCAGCTAATATAGAAAACGCAATCTCAATGTGTTTACAGTCATCTTTTAAGAGGCAATATTTTTGGGAAAGCAAGAACAATAATAATTAAAGCAGCCAGTGAGAAATGTACAAGGTTATAGGCCTCAATTCAGTGCAAAACCAGACTAATAGCTTATGTAAGTAAATGTTTGTTCTGAATAGAGAACCACCTGAATTAAAAGTAAGAACACCTATGTGAAGTGATGGAGACTCCCACGATATTCAAACCCTTCACATACATCATCAACCTTTCCAGTACACTCCAGAATGGACCCTTTGTAAAGGCAAAAGAAACCAGTACAGGAAATCACTTCATACAGCACAAGATATACATAAAGTACCAAAATGTACACACATTCAAGTTTAAGTTAGAAAAGGCAGAGCTGAATCTTCTGGTGAGAGAGGCCTACGTTATGTTGCTTAATCTCAACATTTAAAGTGACCTAAAACCTACAAGAACCAAAGAAAACAGAATATTGTGTCTGCTTCCAGAAACTTAAGCTTAAAGCAAGGCATCGAAATCGAGCAGTAGGCACTGTAACGAGACATGACCTTACCTTTTCTCTGTTAGTCTTTGTTACTTTGTTATCTATTGAAAAATTACCATTCAAAGGAAATATTATGCATCATTCACATTCAAATATTAGAGACTCAGAGATTTTTTTTTTAAAAAACAAGCAAAATTTTTTATCTCTGAGGTAGATGACAATAAAATTAAAAAAAAAAAAAATGGAGCTGTCAATGAACACTAACAAGTGCTGGAGCTCCTCTGTTGGCACTGGTGCACCCCAAGGAGGAGAGAGCAAGCCCTACACCACTATCTGAAACGTGAGAAATGTGTCTTCTGGTTTAGTAGCTTCTACAGAAATGCAACACAGAAAAAGCAGCGCCAAAATTACACTGAAATGGCCTTGGAGAAGAAGAACTTCCATTTCTGCTTCGCAAGCTACTCAGAAAATGGCGGAAACATGCCCAGGTCAGCAAAATCTTCAATGTTGTAATTGCCAGTACCCTGTGTGGGATCCCCAGGCATCGGCAGCATGTCCTGCACGATAAGGAAAAATCAAAGTCAAGTCTCACTTGCCAACACATTATCCAGACACAAACTGTTTCCTGTTCATCTTCCCAGTGTAAAACCAGAAAAGGCCAAGTTTAGATAAATAAGGTGAAAACCAGACCTGTGCAGGGGGCTGGGCTAAGGTTTACGTGCTACTTATGGTTTGCTGGAGTGTTTCTGAACAAAAAGCGGGACTTAAGCAGGGCAGAAGTTTTGCTCTTTTGAAATAAAACATCTTTTCCTCCCAGACTGAAATAACTCCCCTGGAATGGGAGCTACATATGGAGAGAAGCAAACTCTCTGGTTTCACTGCATGGGGAGTGTGCAATATCTCACACACTGGAGCTGCAGCTGTGTCAGGATGGGTTTGGGCAAGGTCTCACTTCCCACCAGCACTCTCTAGGTGAACACTGCTCTGTGGAACACTCAGGACTAACATCACCCCAGCTAACAAGGTGCCCAAGCTGCCTTCATGGATGTACAGAGGCAGAGGAAATAGCAGGAACTTCTCAGGAGAAATGGGATTTCGTGGTAATTGCTCTCACGTGTTTTGAGCCAAGTGAGGTCTCTGCAGGAGGCTTCAAAAAACACTCAACCTTTCCTCTCAGCTGGAGACTGCAGCCACAGGGAGAAGATATCCCTTGCTGGGAAAACCAGAGTTTACACTTGCTTTTCCTGTCAGTCTGTACAATAATAAACTCTTACCACAAAGCCAAGTCTTGCCAGGGATGGCTCAGTATCCTCACAATAAAACAAAACCAAAAAACAAGTAAAAAAGCTCATGGGATCTGCTCTGTGAAAGAACTGAGAGCTGCTGTGTACTGGGAAGTTCCTCCAAAATAAAAACTGATTAAAATCCATCCAAAATCTTCACAGCATCCTTGCCAATGTGGTGAGAGAGACTGTGAACACAACTGGCAGTGTCTGAGCTGCCAGGGTCAGCCTTCATCTTCTGACCAAAACTTGGACTTATCTGATGTTTTCCCACACTCTCTCCCAGCCAAGGGGAAGCTGTGGCTGCTCTCTCCTGTCTCCATTTCCATCTCTGAAGGCATTTCTGCTGCTGGGGCCTATGTGGCAGAGTCTCCTCAAGCACAGATCCAGCAAGGTCTCCTCCTGAGCCTGCCTCTCTCCCTAAGCCCAGCTAACCCAGGGCTGACTTTGGGCACAATCCAAGCCACTTCTTGGAGGCCTTTAAACTCATCCAAGTTTCTTATCCCATCCAGCTATTATCCTAATTTCCTCCAAACACATGCTCACCTCCAAGAGCTCTGCAGAGGAGCCCAGCTCTCCTTTTATCCCATGGTCTTCCTTTCCACTAATTTCATGAGAAGTTTGTTAAGAAATAAGCAAGACACTGCTTGGAGCCCCATGTCTCTTCTGGCCATCAAACTGTGCTGCCATCAGCTCCACTGGAATTACCCTGAAAATCCTCTTGGATAGCAATTAACCTTTGCTAACACAAAAAAATGCAACAGACCGATCTTGCCTGGGCCCTGGGCTAAGAGCACACAGACAGGCAGTTATTCCAGATGAAGGGCTGTTGTTTGATCTTGTGTGAAAGCAATGGTTCATCCACACAGGAATATTCTCACAGCTCTTCTGCAGTGCTCTTGCACACGAGCCCAGTCTTGCAGGCGGATTTACTTTCCAAAAGACAAGGAGGCATCCCACTTCTAAACCTTGCTTGGGGCTTGAACTGTCTTTCCTGCATTTATCTGCATTGTTTTCTTGTAAACTGTCTCCTTCATCTAATTTAAAAACCAGTTATACAAGGACAGATGTGTTATTAGTCAACTTATGAAGTCCTATTCTATAGTAGGACTTTGCTATCTGTAGTCAAGACTCAGAATTATAGTTAATTAGATAGCTGAAGATGATTGTTTACCCCCTGTCTGATATCTGACTGGGTTTAACCTTAAAAAACTATTGTCCACTATCTTCTGTGCATTATCAGACTCCTTTCCTGCTTGAACTGTCAAAGAGAATGACAGTGATATCTAATTGAACTTGAGATGCCACAGGCAAGCACCATGATAAGAAAGACACTCCACTTGGGAATACTTCATGGGTTCTCTGCAAAAGATGAAAGCCCAAAGTACAGAGTGCAAAGAGAAGGGAAAGCAGCATTCTACATCAGCAAAGACGCTGCTGTGAGGCAGAAACCCAAACCACCTCAGTGCTAAGGGCAGCTGGGAGCAGTGCAGGGCTGTGGCAGCAGCAGGGAAGGGCTGCAGGCCCCGCTGCACCTGATCCTCAAGGGCCACAGCTCTAACTCAGACTGAGAGGTGATCAGAGGGACCCTGGGCTCACCTGGAACACCTCGGTCTGGTTGGGCTGTGGGTGGGAGTGCTGCTCGCTGCTCTGCTGGTTGTGGTGCTGGCTCTGCCACTGCGACCACACCTCGGATGGTCTGCCCTGGAACTGCCCGCTGCTCTGGCCGCCTTCAGCTGCAAGAAAAGGCACAAGTCAGGGAGCAGCTCCTCCAAAACACCCACCTGCTCTGGGGCAGCATCCATCAGTGCTGGATTTGTAAAGGAGCCTTGGAGAAAGGCCCTGGGTGACACCAGCCCTGCGAGGAGGAAGCTGGAGGGAGTTTCAGCCCCAGAGCAAAGCTCAGGGCCATGGCTGCACAGCCAAGAACTGCCCAGGGCAAAATGCACAGTGAGCCAGGCACTGCAAGGCAATTTTCAAGCATACCCCATCATTTTTTAATCAATAATAAAGAGCATTTTTCATTTAACCTAAAAACCAAACTTCACCATCTGAATGCTGTTTCTCTTCAAAACACTGAATTTTTGTGAAGCAGTGGCTGCACAGTTTGGTATTCATCTAAAAAGCATGTAAGCAGATCCAGGATTTTTTAAAGCAGATGTAGAAACAGTATGACCAACAGACAACAGACTTGCTGATTAAATACAGGCATTGCTGGACTGTCCTGTCCTCCAGTGATACATCTGCAAAGTGATTTATTTAATATGCAATTCATAACAAATTATTATCCTGTCAATATGGTGATACTTTCCTACAAGTCTCAGGCCATTTACATTTGACAGAGTAGCATGAATAGTAAGGCTTCATTGTAAATACACTTTAAATGATGATTTCAAGGAGATTAATTTCTTCTAAATGGTCCACCAGAAAAAAAGCATGTTGCCACACATTAATTTGGTTACCTATTACACATACATTTTTCATGAGTACAGTAACACTTAAGCTGGACTCATTTTACCCTGCATTTCTACAGACTGCCACTGAATTATAATATTTTTGGATCATTTTCCATTCCTTAGTTACAGTATCTCCTTCTAAGAATCAGCATTTTAGAAAGCTTGCCACCAGGCTTATGCTTTTCCTCCAAATAGTTCTTCCTCTTTTTTCTTGGTAATGTTTTTCTCTCTAAGTGCTCCAGCTATTTTTGCCTGTTTCCCTCTCACAGCAGAGGATCAAGTTGTGCATGTCTGGCTCTTCCTGATCACCAGCATCCTCTGCCGAGGGTGCCAAATTTCCTGTGCCAAACTTCCACACCTGTGCTATGCCAAGTCTTTGATAGCCAGGCTCAGTCATGTCAAATCCGCCACTACTCACAGTCATGACTTCAGAAAATACAGACACACATATTTAACCCAATCCCTTTGGCCACCAGCTAAGCCATGCAAAACAGATAAATGGAAGGTTTTACAGGAAAGTAAACAGGCTGCAGTGATGCATTTCTATCACATCCCAAGTAGATGATTACGCTTCTTCCCTCACTGACATTACCACAACCAGTAATTCAGCTAACTCTAAAAACCCTGCAGACATTTTAAGAGCCAAAATAAAATTCATCTAAGTTCCCCTTTAAAAGCAAGCTGCAAGTTTGTTTTGTTTTACTTCCCCTCAGAACAACACATTGAAATTAAGTGAGTGAAGCAAATGATGCCTCTTTTCAGCAGAGCAGCTCCTGCCAGACGGCGCTCGGAGCCGCTCGTCTCCGGCAGGGCTGGGTTATTAATAGCACCCAAACTGATGTAGGTCAGGAGATGTTTCTCATTAAGTGAAAGGGTTCTTGCCAAGTAGCTTAAGCCTGAAATACAAGGCTGTCTCATAAACAAATGTACAATGCCTGGTGGAAATGGAAATGGAGGGAGGAATAAGCTGTGTGGGAAGAGCTCCATCCCAATGTCCTTTTTCTAGGCACAGGTCTGTGCCAGGTCTGTTCCTCAGGGACAGGAGCACACAACACACATCAGCACACTGCCACCTGTGCCTTTTGGGATTGCACATTATTATCACTCAGTGACATTTTTCATGGAATCCATGATATATTTTACTCTTGATTATTCTTCTGGTGAAGCACAGAAACTTATCAAGGGGTTACCTACTGGGTCACGGTCTGAAAGCCACCAAATTAGCACATAATGGGAAAAGAAAACTATTTCAAAACATGGCACCTACTCTGATTAGGTTGGTAGCACTGGGGGTACAAAATAAATCCAATTTTCAGCCAAACTCCAACGTGCAATCTCAGTGCAAGGGGATACCACTATGACAAAGATAAAAAATTTATAAAAAGCAAATTGAACCAGTTGACCACAATTGAGGAGGATGGTTACTAGTCATATAAACAAATTTTGAATCTTTCAAGACACAGTTTACTGGGGAAAAAAAAAGTTCCCTCCTACCATAAAATGACAATATTCTGAAGTGTGTTGGATGTGGAGGAGATGGAGCATGGAGAGAACAAGTCAGTTCTCTCTCTCTCTACTCAGCAGCAGAAAGAAAAACCCTTTCACAACGTGGGCTTCCTGACTGACCCACCAAAAGAACAATAAAAAACAATTTTTACTGATTAAATACTGGAAGATGATTAACCATTAATAAAAGATGATAACCATTAATGAAGTTAATGGTTAATGCTGAAGAGTTTCATTTCCACGTGCTTTTCTGTGTTACACCATTTAAAACTCACCAAAGCCTGCCCCTCGGTTTGCTAAGCTGGAGTAGGCATTCCCACTTGGAGAAGAGGTGGCTGGGCTGGACAGGGGGCTGTACGATGATGGGTCAGCTGGGTAGGTGTGGCTTGTTCCAATGCCAAAGGGAGATGACTGAGCCTTGCCAGACTGAGATGGAATTTGCTGAGGAACAAAGTGTAAAAGAAGAAAAAAGTTTTATTGGGGAACAGCACAGCAGAATCACTTTTTACAACATAAAGCAAAGACTAAATAAACTCTGTGGATGCCAATAGGCACATTTCTCCTGTCTCAGCTGTATTTCACTTCTGTCCAAGCCAGGTTACTGCTGCAGAAGGAATACAACAGACTATAAACCAACACCTACAGCTCTCCTGCTGATTAGCTCACAGGTACTCTGTATCAGGGCTATTTGGAAAACCAGGATTTCTTTTACTGCTATTATGAGGATTAATCTCAAACTCAACAGGTATGAAGAGTTCATCTTTATTTTCCAGGTGCGTTGATTTTGCAGTGCCACAGTGAAATCAGTTATCTGCATGGACACATGCAGGTCTCAGATGACCAGAGTCTCCAGTGCTTGGGAATAAAGGGCCAAAGAAGTTTCAAAGCTAATGAGCTGCTTTCTCTCCCTGCCTATGAAATACAGGCAGCAGTTATTTGCCTTGTAAAGGGTGAATCACCAAGTCCTGGCAGAAGGGAAGGAACAGTCTAACACTGCTTTAATTGGGCAGCTGAGTTAATTCAGAAGTACCAAAATCCAGCTTACTGTCATTTCACCTACATAATGGCTCTGTCAGAGGATCTCCCAGAATGTTACACAAGTGGTTAAACACTGCAGAGGCTGCTTGGAGACATGTACAACTGGTGCACTGGGACTAAAGGGAGTGAAGTGCTCCCTCCAAAGTCATGGTGCACAGGCAGAAACTGACTACAAACCATTTCCCACATGATGAGTAAATTCATCAGTCCCAAGAAAAACTCACTGCCTAACCAAGGCCACAAACAGAAACTGAAGGTGATTACATCTCAGGGTATCTGTAATGATGGGTACTGTCACATCAATGCATGCAAAGGAAGCTGCTCTTCCCTGGAAGAGAGGGACAGGGAGCAGAATGAAGCCCCCACAATCCAAGAGGAAAAGGTCAGTGACCTGCTACACCCCTCAGACACACACAGCTCCATCGGTTGGGCAGCATCCACGCAAGGGCACTGAGGAAGCTGCCAGAAGTGCTCACTGAGCCCCTTCCCATCACTCCTCAGCAGGAAAAATTCCTTCACCAAAAGGGCTGTCAAGAACAGGAAGAGGCTGCCCAAGGAAGAGATTGAGTCACCATCCCTGGAGGGGTTTAAAAGATGTGTGGATGTGGCACCTGGGGATGTGGGTTAGTGGTGAAATTGGGAGCAGTGGGTTAATGGTTGGACTTGATGACCATAAAGGTCTTTTCCAAACTTAATGATTCTATGACTTTTGGGCAAATGCAGGGGAGCTGGGGGAGCAAAAGAGATCCCAACAGGCATATAACACGTGGAAGATGCTATTAAGTCTTCAGTTCAGTTCCAAGCTAAGAAATTGTACATTTCTGAAGGTTTCCACAATGGCAGTGAGAGCTCAGCATGTCACTTTTGCAAGGCTTAGCTACATCTTACTTTATTTAAGATGAAGAAATAATTCCAATTTCCTTACACTCACATCCAAACTCAATTGACTTGGACAGAATTTGTACAGTAAGAGGGATGAGTAATTTGTTTTAGTCATTTTCAGCACCATCCATATCATTTGAAGAAATGTTGTGACTGGATTTCATTAACCAGGTGTGACACAGAACCATGACACTCTGGGGGCTGGGAATAATCAGTGATTAATGTGGAAACAATTCACTTATTGGAAATTCATTTAGTGATCACTCCAGCATGCCATTCCAGCCTGCCAAACAATGAGAACTCAAGAGGGATTAAGAGCAGCATTATTAAGATCAAATTAATCTAATATTATTTGTCTTTTGATAGAGTTTTGAACCATTTTTAACAGTTACACAGAACAAGAGGTGATTTTTGGGCTAAAGCACAGTGCATCTGATGGAGGTATGTGCTGTTTCCTCCAGCACACAGCAGTGTGAGCTACACTGGGCAGTGCTAATGGAGAGGCACCAGGCTGAGCAGCCTCTGCTCCCAGTCCATGCCTGGGTTTGCACCTGCCCCTTCTGCCCACCCTGATAATGGTGGGTAACACTGCAAGGTGTTAGTTAATAGTGGGTGCAAGGTCCTGACCCAAATAGATTAAATTCACAGGTTTAATGCTACAGCAGAAGATCTGTCCTTCTTCCTTCATCCAGTGCACACATAAAACAAATGCAGGACAAGAACTTCCAGTGGGGTTTGGGTCAGTGCAGCCCCTGCCACCTCAGTGACCATCACCCCAAACCAAGAGCAGTTACACACAGGTAACACAGGTACACACACAGGTGTGGCTCACACTGCCACACCTCCGCCCCAACCAAAAATTAATTATCCTAAAATCATAAATGGGTTTACTAATACTTCTGTAAAAATCACAGGGATGCAAATCTTTAATGCCCATGGAAATAAAGGACTAGAATGAGCACCTGTCCTGGAAATGGAGGGCGGTTTCCCGTCCAGGCCACCTGGCCCTGGTTGAGCTGCCGCGATATCTGAGTCAGGTTCTGCCCCGTTGAGGAGGAGGACTGGATGTCGTTGACACCAGGCACGTGCACCACAGATGAACTAAGGGTTCAAACACACACAGAGCCTCATTTGTAGGGCCTAGTCTCAATGCACAGATTGTATCTCGGATAAAGAAATACTGACAATACATTAAAGATAATTATTCAATCTGTCTTGGTAAGAAAAATGAGTGAGAATCGTCACAAAACTATGAAACATACTGGCATTCTAAATGTCAGTCCTAATAGACACAGCAGGCAAAATTATTTTGAATTAGACTTCAGTAATCTCTTGGAAAGGGCTTCTAAGAATAAATACAGTCCCACACATGGTGCATACACACTTAGCCTCACACCAGTTTAACATTTAATGCATTAAAAATCCGGCTTGCAGAGAGTACTGCAGGTACTTCATCACAAATTTGTGGTAAAAGTCAACAGTATTTAAGCATTTCCTTAAATGCCAATCTAAATGAAGATGGGCACAAAAGATGATACATATAAGCACTTCCTTATTTGTTTCCTGCCTAGGAAATGAAGAATTATGTGATACATATTAAAAATAAGGGCTTTTAATTCATTTTTTCACCAACTGATGCTAAAGAAGAACAGTCAATTATATACCCAAGCAAAACAATAATCAAGACAGGAAGTTAAACTCATTTAGTAAATTTGGAACACTAATAATAATAAAAATTAGTATTTTTAAGGAACTTTTTTATATGTTAGCTGTTTCCTACTTACTGAATTTCACTACAGAGAAATACACAGAAATTAATTAGCGGAAAAATTATATGAAGCAACTGCTCTACTTTACCATTTTATTTTCATGGAAGTCTTGAGCAATGGAATCTACACAACTACACATTGTGACTGTACTTTTATATATAAAACCACATTTTTTACATGTCATATATAAATGAATAGAAATGAAGACAGCACACAAAACCACTTTTGTGGATCCACTGAAACAGCTTGCTCTTTTCTTCAATCCCATCCCTATTGTTTATTTTCACAATCTTACAGAGAGAGAAGAACGCAGATTGGGAAAAGAAGTAAACAAGGCTGAGCAGAGAGAAAAGCAGGGATCTGAATCCTTGGAAAAGGCTGACAGAATCCCTCCCAGAGTGCAAGCAGAACGTGGCAGGCATGTGAATATGGGAGTTGTTATTCTGAATTTCTTGTTATTCTGAATTTCTGCCTAAAAGCAAAGTGTATGTCCAGAAATTCTTTGTAGAGTTTTCTAATTTCTAAAAAAAATCTGTTTTATGTTTATTTTGTACTATCACAGAGTCTCCAAAGAGGGAAATGTGGACCAGAAAGTTCATCTAAATCTGGCTGGAGCACACAGCAGCTGCTGGGGAGGGTTGGCCGCACTGCCAACACCTCTCAGCTGGACTGGCAAGCCCCATCACCTAAGGAGCTTGGGCTGTATCTGGAACTGTACTGTGAAAGCAGATTTCTGCAGAGCAGTGCCTAGAGGCTGCCCAGGCTCAGTGACTGAATGTGCCGGGCTGGAGATTATACAGAGCACAGTGCACTGAGGGTGGAAGTGCTGGCAGAAATGCAAGCCATTACTTGGTGTAACAGAAGAGCAGTAGGAGAAAAGCTACAGTTAAACATCAGGAATTAGCAAAAGAAATGAACAGAACACAAGCCAAAACCCCCAGATGGCAAGTCAGTCACCCAGTAATATACAATATCCAATTAAAAGACATTTTAATTTACTCTCATATCTCTCCAGGTTATACTTGATTTTAATTTGACAAAACACACTCACAGGGATCTTATTTCTCTTCACTGAGATTATTAGCAATCACATCTTTAAGAGCACATTGGTTTAAATAAAATCAGTGTTTGCCAATGTTTTCCAGTTCAAGGAAGTGGCTGCTCCTTCAGTTTCACAGCCTTGGCTGGTTTGAACAGGAGAATGGAACTCCAGTAAGACAGTGGTGATATCACAAGGCACTAAGGTCAACATGATTGCTGCTACCACACTCTCCAAAAACAACTGGAACCTGTATTGCCAGCTGGTAGGCAATGACACACACTTAGAAGAACTCAAAAATGCCTCAGAACATTCCAGACCACCACCTTACATTTATTTGGAAGCTGCCTTAGAAAAGTGTCGATGCCCCTGTCCCAGTCCTCACCTGGGACTATGGATGCAGCATCCCTCTGTTCCCTTTGGCACCCACATCAATGTCCTTCAGCAGCAGCAGTGACAGCTGCAGTGCAAAACCAATCTTTGCACCCTCCCAGCTTGGCTGAATGTTCCTCAGATTTCTCACCCTGTCCTGTCACCTCTCAGAGTTATTTCCCTCCAGAATTTGTTGCTGCTCCTTAGCTTTTTTCCAATTACAACATCCTACTTACCAGCCAATATTTTTAAGAGAGACACCCAAATCATCTCAGCTTGTAAGCCCAGCCTAAGTGCTGAAACACCACCAGCAGTGAAGTGTACACAAAGCAAAATTCATTCATGTAAAGGAAGCTCCAGCACCTTGGGCTGGTTTTGTTTCCACACAGGGACTGCAGGGGACAGTTCCCCCTCTCAGACAGAGACTGACACATTCAGGATCTACACCAAATACCTGAAAGTCTTTCCCGAGTGTCCTGGCTGAAATGGGCTTCCCTGGGAGTAAAGCTGCGGGTTCCCTGCTGTGGATGCAGAGGCCATCATTTTTTTATCTGCTACAAGAGAAAAATACATCATAGAAAAATAATTAATTTAGGGGGTGAGATAAATGAAAGAAAAAATATTTAAAGACAATTGCAATGTATGTTTTCTTCCCTTCTTCAAGCTTCATGAAGAAGCCCTGTGGAACACATTAGCTTCAATGCCTGGTGGCACTGCCTGCTGATGTTGGGGTGACAATCTGCAGCCCCACCTGCATCCCAAGTGGCACTTTGCTCCTGAGTGTCACAAGACCTGCACACCTGAGCTGTGGCAAGGCAAAACACAGGTCTATTGTGGAATCTGCTGTCCTCATGTGGCTTGGGGGAGCCACAAAATAGAATGGGAACCATGAAATAGAATGAGGAACCATGAAATAGGATGGGGAACCATGAAGTAGGATAGAAGTACTCCAGAGGGGTGGAAGACAAATGAGTGTAGTGAATAAATTGCACAAAGAGATGCCATTAACTTTTACAGTTTCACCCTAATGTGGCAACTGAAGATCAATCTCTAACTGAATGAAACAAGACTGGGTGAACAGCACCATTTGGTCCCTTAATTTAATTTTCTGGTACTGGATTATTCCAAAGCTCCGGGAAATCTCACTACTGCTTCCCTTAAAATAATTTACAGGTCTGCTACACCACCCTTTATGCACCTTCTCCATCTCCCCTTCAAGTGCAACTCACTGATGATTTTGCACCCATATGTTGCCAGGTACTTGACAGGCCTAGTAATCAAGTCTGCCCCCTCATTTTCCCCTTTGCTCTTTTCAGATTCCCACTCATTTCACAAGATGCTCTCTCGGACAAAAGGCCCACTCAACTAACAAGTAACAGAAGTATTTTTTAGGTGTTTAAATTTTTTTTTTAGCTTTCCCCAGCTTTTAGAGACCTCCTGAGCGTGACTCACCAAAGGCCTCCAACACACAGCAGCTCTTCCCTGTTACCTAAGTTGTTCTAACATTATGTTCCTAACAAGAACCTAAGCTTGCCTCTCAAAAGAAAAAAGTCACCTCAAATTCCCTCACAGGAGCCTTGGAGTGTGGATGCCACTGATGCAAGCTAGCATTGCTTGTCTTTGTAATCTTTCTGCAGAAATCTGTAGAAATTCCTCCCTGGCTACCTGCTGCCCAGCACAGAAACCAAGGCTGGGCTGCAAAACTATGCTCTCATATTTAAAAACAACAACAGGGAGAAATGGGGACAAGGTGTAGAGGAGGTTGTGCATATAGCAGGAAGAATTGAGAATGGATTGATATATCTCTGATAAGAAGGAGAGATGAATTTTTCTTTTTCTGCAGTAATGTCATTCTTCCACGAGAGAGATGCCCCATTTTCTAAGGCCACCCTTTGTAGGGAAACCAAACTCTCAGGGCTGGAAGAGACTGAGCCAAAATCCTGCGGGTGCTTTAGATATTTGAGAACAACTTACCAGAAAAATTGAGAGTGCCCCAAATGAACTGGAATTCCTCAAGTGGAGCAGAGTTGCCATGGCAGCTACCAGGGTCTGTGCCACAGGATGAGGCCAAGACAAAGGGAACAGCTAAACTAATAGCAAGCAGCTAATGCTCCTTCCTGAGTTACCCTGAATGCCCTTCAGCCTCTGAATCTGGCCCACATCTCTCCCAGTTGTATTCCTACCCAGGATTTTTCACACAATTCTCTGCTCTCACCTTTGCTACAGCACTGACTTTTTTTGGTTGTTTTTTTTGGTGAATTTTACCTGTTTCTCTATAAACTCCACTGGTCAATGATGTCCCTTCCTCCAGCAGGACCAGTATCTCCAACATTTCTGCCTCTTAACTGAATCCCTCTCTAAGAACTGCATCATCCCATGCTTCAAATCACTTGCATGAATTGGTGAAGCCAGGCTTCCTCTCCCAACCTTTGGGTTTTTAATGAAATTTTAATAGCAGCACTCCCCCTGTGGCAGCCCATGTTCTTACAGGACAAGATCAGGTATCAACATAAGGCAAATGGCTGGCAGGCAGCACACAGGCTTGTCAATATTGGTTTTGGACAGGGCACCTCATCCCTGACTGGGAACCATCCTTTATCATTCAGAGGAGACCTTGATCACAGCTCCCATGAGAAATTCAGAGAGGGAGAATGTCCCAAAAAAAGCACAGCCTGTAAATTGATAAGAATGAAAGGAGAAATGGCATTTCCAAGAACATAACCTCCCAGCTGCCTCACAGCTTGTGACACCCTTAACCCTAACCCCTCCCCACAAACAGCTGAGAGCTGCCTGAAGAGGAGCCAGTAAGGCAGCCAAAAAGCAAGATGTTCTTGCTTAGAAAAACATATTCTGGTGTTTAGGGTTGGAGTCTTGCTACCTTCTAATGGACCCCTTTTATGGCCCCAGCTGTTGACTCCTCTGTCCAAGCAAACAGAGAAGGATGAACAGGAATAGCAGAGCAGTCCTAGCAACAGGAGGACAGAGCATCAAGTATATATTGCAATTAGAATGTCTTCTCCAACTGAAAAAGCCAATCCAGACATAAGAAACCAACAGCGAGGTCACCTTCCAACACCCCTGCAGTCAAACCCTGTGGGTTGTTTCCTCCCTGCACTGCATGACACTTGCACATTGATTTATTTAAAACAAATGTAAAAATTCCTCTTTTTCAGTGAGGACAGTTAAGAACAATAAACAATCAATGAGCTCTTCCAGAAGCCATGGCATTGGCTGGTTTCCTGCAGATATATTTCAGATGATGCCTTCAGCTGCCAGTCTTAGTGGTTTCTGTCTGTGAGGGCACCAGGCAGCACAGGCTGGGGCTGCTTGGGGACAGCTCCATCTGCCTGACTGACAATTTGGCTGTTACCTCTTACAACAGGGCTGGGAAATCCTTCGGTGAGGGCACCAGTAAGGACTCTGTCCTCACAGTAATTTCCAAGAAATATAGAACAACAAATTGTTCCTGAGACTCCTAGCAATCTTAAAAGACCTTGCTGAAAATTTTAAAAGTTGTGGGAAAAAGAGGAAGGACTCCTCACAACCAGGTAGCATGGCTGGAGATGCCTCAACTGACCCGAGAACAATTATATTGCTGGCAGCATGACTCTGAAAACATTGATACAAAAGCTGGTGATTTGATAAAAAACTGCAGCCTGTCTTAAGACTATATGGTAACTTTCTTGTCCATTTTAAAGAAATATGTACCTATTTAGAGAAATGAATTTACCTACGCTGTTTAGGAAAGAAAATATACACTTAGAAACGGAATGTTCTGCTCAGTATATTTAACATCTGGGAGCACTGCCTAAGGTGTCCCTGTGAAATGAAAAGAGAATCAAAACCAGGCAGCTCTGGTGACAGTAAAGCCATCCCTCCCTCTTTGAATTTACTCCACCATCTTTAGGGGAAACACCAACTAATGACAAATGCTAGGAAATGCCCCAAAGACTGATGCTGCTTAGAAAATTCTCTGCCATGCATCAATTTCTCTTTATTCTCTTGAAGCTGTGCTCTACACCATGTAACCAAGCTTATCACACAGTATTATAAATTAAACATCAGGGACATTCACTTACAAGCAGTTATTCCAGCAAACATCTCAGCAAATCTAGGATCTCTCTCTTGGGAGAAGATAGCATCAGGCTTTTCCACAGACTTTCCACCCTCATGAACATTAGCTGGTATACTTGGAACAGGCACCTGTTGAGATACAGAGAGGAATGTGATTCCCTCTGCTGTATTTGACAGAAAGCAATTCAGGGACAGTCACAATGTACTTTTAGTTCTGCTGAAATGTGCTGTTGTTTTACATCTTAAATGATCAGAGGCACAAAAACAAAAATCTGAGGAATTTCACCTGAGATAAGTCATAGGATGACAGCCCATCTCTTTGATGTACTTCGAGTTCTGCTTGCTGTTGCTGAAGTTGTCTGCAAGGGAGACAAAATGACTTTCTTAGAAAAACCAATTAAGATACAAAAAAGAATAGTCATGGTCTCCTGTTTTACACTCGCAGTGAAACGTGTCTCAGGTGATTTACTAAATCCTCTCCTGTGAGATCCATCTGCTTTTACAGCTTTCTCATTGAGAAAACCTGCACCACAGGAATGCAACATGGCACAGGAAGAGTTTTGCTGTGAGAGCACTGAAGTGTAGGCGGGTAAGTAATGGAGGAAGGAACAAAATCTCCTTCTAAAGGATTTAAAAATTCACTATTCTTAATTCATTGTCTTCCTCATGTCAATGATGAACACAGCAGACCATCTCTCTGATTCTACTGAAGGAAACATTAAGCTTGCTCTCCAGGATGATGCTTAATGACAGAACACCTCAGCAGCTGGGAGGTTATCCAGATGTTCTGCACCTCTGATTAACAGTTGCTTTCTGTTGCTTGGTCACAACAAGCAAGAAAACTTCTGGCCTGGAGATGCACAGGTAGAACACATCTTTGTGAGGCTCTTGGCTCAGTTAGCAAAGACATGAAGCCCAAAAAAAATTACGCTAGAGCTCAGAGATTACAACAGGATTGGACTCAAATTGACAAAATACTTGGATTTGATACTTGTAAATGATCCTTTACAGTGCTCACAGTTCGCGTATGCTTCTGACTTCCTTCTGAAGGAAAAAACACCCAAAACCCAAAAAGGAATTACACACCATGCGTGTCTTTCCCCAGAGAGATGATGCTTGGGCAGGCAGGAATAGATGAGATTTGGCAAAACAGCAAGATCATGGAATTGAAATTCTGGAAAATTACAATGTATTTTTAGCCACAGGTTAAAATTTTAGATTTTCATCCAAATCTTCTTTTAGATTTTGAAATAGATTCAAATGACAAGGGACCGAGAGACAAACTTGCAGACAAAGTCAAATGACAAATTAGACACAAACTGGTGGAAACGTGAGGAATCACTCAAACAAGCCACTGAAGTAAGTAACACATTTTGCTATCCCTTGAAGCTTTTCCAGGAGACACTTTGGTCAGCTTTTATGCTCCATGACAAAAATCTGAGTCCTGCAACAAACAGCAGGTCAGAGTAATTGGCCAAAAGCCTTCTGCAAGCCTTACAGTGTGGGAACACATAATACAGGGAATAACTTTTGTCCTAGCAGTAACATGCAAAAAAAGGCAGTCCTCCAAACCATTAGAGGATTTTCCCTATTATTTTAGCAAACAGAAAATTCCTAAAAATTACCTCTGGAATGCAAAGGCATTCTTTGTTCACAAGCAGAAAATGCAAACTTTTCCAACAGAACTACAGGAGGCAATTGAATCGTGGGGAATCTATGGGGAAGTTTCTAAAACCCACCCCGTGGACAATAAACACCCATTAAACCCCGTCGTTAACGTGAAAGCTAATTACACTCTTTCATTTGTTTTTATTACCACCAACTCAGTGCATGTGTCAATAAACAGCACATTAGGCTCTCCTCTGTTCCTTATAAAGAATGTTTTCTTGATTCAGCCATATACATACAAATGAGCCAAACCAAACAGCACACACTCGCTCGTTATTTGTTTTGTAGGCACTTCTCTAACTTAGTGCTCCTTCTCCCCTCTCTATCTTTCATCTCTAATACTCATTAAGCTGCACTACAATATAAACACCACAATATAAACACCACACTGTGCTAACAGCACTGAACTTTGGGAACAACCACCCAAAATCCATTTCCTACAAAAACCAAATAGTTGGGTGTATCTTTACTGAACCCCGAGCAAGCTACGCTGCACTTAATTAAGATCGAAATGCAAAGCCAGGGTAGCATCTTCTGTTGTTGTTGGCTGCTACTGCATAAATAGTTTAAATGGTGCTTGAAACCTGAAAGAAAATGTGCAGCAATTCATGGAACAGCCGACCAGGGAGAGCTCAGTGCTGCTGCTGTGGCTGCTTCAGACCCTGCCATCCCCTCTGGCAGCCAACACAGGCAGGTCCCTTCAGCCACCCAACTGCTGGACAGTAACAATGAAACACAACAAGGGATTATCATCAGTTTGGACAAAACTCAAAGTTGCCCTCTAACTCTGAACCCAAAATTTGTCCTTGGTTTCACTTTCAGTTTCAGGAGTTCAAGGAGTCAATGAACAATTTCTTGGCTCTACAGTTTACCCAACACAGCAAGTGAGGCACTGATTGGGTCAACAGTGGATTCTGTCTGTACTGACCCACAGGTTCAGTATGAAAACGGGAAAACCCTTGGCTTGGACAAGAATTGTTCAGCAAATCTGAAGGCTTTGACAGTTACTTCAAACTTACTTTAGTAAATACACATGGAGGAAAAAGGAAGACTGTGGAAGATCTCCTGACATTTGAGAAGATGTTAAGCTCTCTCTGTGAAACCTGAAGTCACTGGTTCCCTTTCCAGGCATCAGAGGAAATAAAAATGATTTGAACTTTAAAATTAACAGGCTCTTTGGTGGGAGAGAAACAACAATCCTGCATCCATACCAAGCTATTTTTAATGAAATACAGGCACATGTGTTTCCCGTGTCTGGTTTGGACAAAAGCAGAGTAGTAAAAGCCTTGGGGCTGTGGTTGTAAAATCTTCTTTCAGAAATTCTCAGTATCTCCCTCTTTTAGCCTAGAGCTTCAACTCAGCCCTGGGAAAGGCTCTAACAGCAGTGTCAGACAGACCACAGATGACACCAGAGCACGAGAAAGTCTTTACCACCACCACCAACTGCAATTTTATCAGCATTGCTGATCTCTTTAGTGTTTTGGCCCAGGAGAAGCCAGAGCAGAAAGCATCTCTCCCACAGGCTGATTCATCCAGCAGTGACCTGGGCCAGCTCACTCCAACACAACAAACCTCGAGACTCAGGGCAACCACAGGACTCATAAATTCACACAGTGCAGCACAGGACTTGTGGCTTCCAAAAATGAAACATCAGGTATTCCACACAGCCCACAAAAATACATCTCTTCTTTATTTTGATGTATATACATATCTATATATATCTATATCTATATATATATATATCTATATATATATATATAAAAGACCTTTATATAACCTGTCACCACAACATTATTTGATTCAAACACTGCTCTGTCTGTATAATAAATAAATACTGATAACAATTATTTTTTCTCTTTGGAAATCAAACAGTCCCAACTACACAGGAAGACGTGGTCAAACAGGGGACTCTTCTTCACAGCCCAGCACAGCACAAATGTGAAACGTTAAATGCTTCATTTCTCCAGGAAGTTTCTCTTGGATGACTACACCCAAGTGAAACTGAGAGAAGTTTTCTTTTCTTTTTTTTTTTTTTGCAAAGAACTAAGCGAACATTTGAACCTAATTATTTCCTTATCCTTCTGTACCAAAAGCAAGTTCGGACATTTCACTGTGTGAAGCTCCAAAGGAGTATCTTTATTTAAAAAAAAGGGGGGGGGGAAAGAAGGAAAAAAGAAATAGAACAACCAAAACCAAGCCAACAAATAACAGTAAAAATCAATGAATCCCTGCACAACTGGAATCATCACTGCCCTCTACAGTCTTTTGGGAAAATGCTGTTCACTGACCAGCTTGAGCTATTATTAACAGACACACAGATCAGCTAGAAACTGACTTAAACCCCCTTTTTTTGGCTACATTGTCCTTATGATTTCATGCTGAATTTTTAACTACTTCAAGCCTGTTTTTTATGGGGCTGCCTAGATTACCACAGTGATAGGCATATCAAATCTGTCTCTGTGCCTTCTGCTAGGCAGAGCAAGGCATGCCTGCCTGGCCTCCATGGGAAGCACCTTCCAGGACCCAGAGCACCTTCCAGGTCCATGTAGGGATGGCCACACACAGCAGGGCTGGTGCCAAACCACCAGTCCCAGCAGCAGCTTAATGAGCAGCTGGAAATCACAGCTTCATGACGTACAACTCTTCAGGGCAGCAAGGAAATCAGAAATCAAAACATGACCCCAAATGTAGGGGGAAAAAAATACCCAGAAAAAGGCAGGAACTGCTGTACTTTACAGTAAGTCCTCTTTGGAAATCTGAGAACTGGGAGAGAATAAGGGGAAAACCAAAACCAGTCTGAATAACGCATTCTTTCTACTATTCAAAAGCAGAAGTATAATGGGCTGCATCTTGCCCATTTCAGAACATTTTCAACATGACAGGAAAGAGGGAACATCCTCTGTCAAAGTAGCAGCAGGCAGCTTCCATATTAGGTCAGCATTTCTGGGTTGTTATTCAAAGCTAGCAAGAGAGATGGAAGCAGAGCCAGGAGCTGGACAGTGCTATTCATCACAGGGAGGGCTGTGGTGCCAAGCTCAACTGTACAGTGCAGGCTCACAAAAAACCATTCCCAGAGTCAACACAACATAAGCCTCCAGCCCCACTTTTTCATCCGTGGCCTCCTGGGAACAAAGCACAATTAAGCCAGCCTGGGACAAACCTCAGAAGATGTTTTTTTACTTTGCAGGCCTGTTTTTGCATATACAAATTATTTGAAAAAGTATTATGGGACAGCAGAAATGTGGAAATAGCTATTTTGATGCACAGTGCAGACAAGCTGTCTGATCTCAAGACACATTTGCCTGTTTTCAATGAGCTTAACTATTCAGTTTAAACCCAACTTTTTGGGTATGCAGAAAAACAAAAACAGGAAAACAATTGTGATGCTGGGTTTCATGGAAGTGAATGCACAGCCCTTCCAGTCCAGCCATGGCCAAAGAAGCAAGACAAGGAATGCCCAGAGGCACTTGCAAACTCCAGTGCCAAAGCCCCAGGGGTTTGGTTTTGCAGTGGAGCTCTCAGCAGGCACCTCCAGCAGCAGACTGCTCGTGCAGCATTTCTGATATATGGTCTAAGGGTGAGATCTCAAACTCAGTAATTTCCTCCCAGCTAAAGACTTGGCAAAAAAAAAAAAAAATCTCTGGTCAGACCGGAAGCAGATTTAGTTTTAAGAATAGATTAAGTTTATATTGGAAAGAAGAAACATTTATTAAAAAAATCCCTCACAATATAAAGCAATCAAGGCCAGATTAGGTTCTGCAGTTACTAGCTGAGAACTCAGCAGGCTCCAAAAGCATCTCTGCTCAGTCCACAGAGATCAACCTCCACCATACTCTGAGTGTGACTTCCTCCCAAGAGGCCATGAAATGAAAGATTTTTGAAAATGTTAATTCCAAGGCAGGATGATTTCATTTTCCTCTTAAGATAAGGAGTTGGATCACCCCCATACTTGGGGATATTCTATCAAAGCTAAACTATCAGGAACCCTTCCCAATCAAACCTACTAGGAAATAATTCTGCCAGCTTCATTAGGTCGTAAAATAGACACAGCTGAAGCAGAAGAGCCCAGAATACAGAATGGTATGAACATGGACATGGAATTTTCTCTTGGCTCAGGAGTCAGGCTAACCTTCCTCCAGTACCAGGACAGCTGTTGTGCTGCTGGAAGCTCTGCATTAGTTCAAGGCAGCCTGGACTGAGATCAATGGCCTTGTCTAATGACATAACAGATAAGTGACGTTTCCCCCCAGCGCAGCCAGGCCCTGGAAGCATCACAGGATAATGACACAGAGAAACAGCTACACTGGGAGATCTCCTGATGCAGCAAAACCCTGTTACAGCCTGTGCTGTTAGAGAGAAACAAGCAGTATCTGTTAAAAAACTGGGATGTGCTTTACAGGGAAAAAGAATGGTTACAATTCCTTCAAACCCACGGCGGGGAGCACCCAGAAAGGCACATACTTGACATTAGTGTTGGTGCAGATGATGTATTCAATCTCGTCAGAGTAAGGGTTCTGAAACGTGAAGCTGCTGGTTCTGATCAGCATCCACTCCCGGTTCTTGGTGCGGAACCGATACATCACAGACAGGACCTGACCCTTCAGCTTCACCACCTGCAAAGCCATTTGGAAAGGTTAGCAACAGGAGATTGCTATCTGCTGTGCAAATGAACAGGCAACAGCAGCAACTGGTGCATTTTAAACTTGAATTCCAGAAAGCTACAGGGACAGCAGAGGAATTTTTAATTTGGAGAGAATACGCAAAATCCTATCCATGTTTACAGCTATCTCCTTCAGGATGAAATCCTCATGCTTTGTCACATAAAATGCCAATTTCCAGCCTGCTTAGAAAAAGAATACAGACTCAGGACAATCATCAGGTCGTGTTGTTATCCCAACACAGAAACTTTAAGAATGTTTTAATGTGAAACACTTATCGAGAGATTGACAGAAACCAAACTGAGGATCTTTTAAATGTTTATCTGTAAACCATAAACCAATCACTGCAGCTAAACAAAAGCCTACAAGAAAAGTCATTTTGAGGTTGACTGCTTTTCTGCTTGGACACCCAGCTAAACAATTAATATATGTGAAAAATCAGCAGCAAAGTTTAGGACAATGCTTAAATACAGTGGTGTTTATTTTTTGTTTTTCTAGAAACCACCAGGGGTTGGTTCCCCCCTACCCCAAACATTGAAAGACTCTCTAGGATGGCAAATTGCTAACAAGAATCACTTGCTTCTGGCTTTCAGCAGAAAAAAGAGTGAGCCAGTGTTTGAATGGAGAGAACATTGACAAGCCACTGCCCATTTTAACAGTATAAATTCCTTGCTTGCACAGGCTATGTGTTTGTAACTAAAAACTCAAATGTCTGGGTTTGGTAACTGAAGTTTTGTTCAAGTCAACAGCAGGGCACCAAGTGAGGATTAAGGAGCAGCCAACTAAAGCACATTCAAACCAATCTTCTCATATTGGCCCTGCAACTGCATTTTGTGTGTTATCCAACAATCTGGGGTTCAGCCAGAAGAAAACTTTCATGGTTTCAAGTCATTCAGCTGGCACTTACCTGGCCTATCTCTGTTTATATTTTACAGCTTTTCCACCAGGCTATCTCAGGGTTGCCCCAAGGAAGGAAAGGGAAGGTCTACTGCAAATAAATGCCACATCTTGTGGATTCTTAATCATTAACATCTGGAATTTACTTTTTATTAGCTTTCTGCAGCCTGTATTCTCTAAATGTAGAAGTCCCACTATTTACCCTCTGTCTTAATTGACAAGCAATTAGATTAAGAAAAATGTTCCAATCCTGCTTTTTTCAGAGGTTTGCACTTCCAATTAATCAACTGGATATGGGACTAAATGAAAAGAATGCAAATAGAAGACAACAACCTTTAGCAAAGCCCAGGAAAGCTCAAAATCATATTGAAATAAATGACTTTTGGTTGGTTTTGTTGGGGTTTTTTTAATGCTTTAACAGGGTTTTTCTGAGCTCACTGAGCAACATTCTTTTATCAGCAATTTTCTACTACCACACCCAGGGCAGAAACCAAAGAGCTGGTGTAGAGTGTGCAATCTGAATAGTATTCTACTGGGTATCCAACAGCTGTATACTGGACCCTTTGATATTAACCTGTATTTGTTTGTCTTAGCCTTGAGACTATCTTATTCTGGCCTGATTTTTCCCACCCTGATGAATGAATTTATCTTCCCAAGGAAATAAAGCTCTGAGATAGATACTGGCAATTGACCAAAAATTGCAAAACCCACCCTCCCTCCCTCTTCTGTTATGCACCAGCCTGGTTCTGATACTGTCAGCAAAAAAGAAGTGCCAAGCTTTCAGGTTTTAAGAAAAAAAAAAAAAAAAAAGAGTTTATTTGGAATCACAGTTACCTTTTTAATTAAGAGATTTCTAAGTCCAAACTAACAATAATAAAACAAATGGCAGTGATCTATTACCCTGAAAGCCTGATTAAGCAAACAGTAATTTTGTAATAATATATAAAGCAGAGAGATTGCTGGTGGGAAAATCCTGAACTGTCTTAATACAGAGCACACAAACAAACCAGCACAAAAAATTTCAAAGCTAATGATTGAACTTCACTTTCTTATATTCTTTGGAAATAAAAACCACCTGGTGCAAAGCTTAACTGTTTACTTCAGTCTTTTATTGCACGATGGGAATAACAGCCCAAATCACACTGCTACTGTACTGAACAAAAATACACCCAAGAAGGCATTGCCTGCTAAGGAAACAACACACTATTTTCATAGATTGGACATAGATTGAGTGAGCAGGAACTTTAATTTCTAATTGCATTTTTTCCTGCTGTCTTTCTGTATGACCTCAAGCAAGCCATGCAGATCCCTGATGCAGCAAATCACTTTCTGCACATGCCCAGCAGTGAGTGGTGACAGTGGAGTCGCCAGCAGCCGAGTTCAGGGACACAGAGACAGCCTGCCACAGCCCGATCTCCCTCGCAGTGAACACGGGCAGGACCAGGGCATTAACTGCAATGTTCATTAGCCAGCCCTGCTGAGACCCAGACAATCACTGCACGGGTTCCCTGCCAGAGGATGTTTGACAGCCCATTATCCAGCAGCTCTCTGTCACTGTCCCTTGGACAGATGAGTGGAATCAATCATTTGGGCACCGCTGAAAAACAGCATATGTGTTCTCACTGCTCCTGCGCCGCTGATGCCATCAGGCAGCAGTGCAGGGAGCTGAACCAGCCCAAAGCTGGAGTTCCATGCAAAAGGAATCAAGGGCTCAGCCCTCCCAGCAATGCCAGCACCAAGGCAGCAGGAAGGAGGGGAGGAGGGCAGGCAGGAGAGAAGAGCCGGCTCCTGGTGACAGACCCCTATCAGGAGGATGCAGCTGCAGCATCACATCCCCAGCCGAGGTGGGGCACAGGAGATGTTCTGGGTGTGGTGACCTGTTTAAAGCATTGAACTCTCACAGCCTGTGAATCAACATCTTGAATTTAAAAAGGCTGCTGTTTGCAGTCAGTGTGTGTGCAAGGAACTGGAGGCACACTTGGCCATGGGGCTGATGGTCCCTGTTGAAGGGGGGATGGTGAGAAACAGCTCAGGAGGACGAATATCTGACACCATCTCCAACACTTCTGCAGAGACCATAACCTCAGTTTCGCAATCTGTTCTAGGGACACAGCATTTCGTTGTTTTTCCCCCAGAGGCTCTGTCTGTGCATGCCATGCCTGAACAAACAGTTGGCTATACAAATTACTGAGAAGTCACTTCATATCCACATTTCACAGCTGAAAATACATCTCAGCATCCAACGTAAGATGGATCAACACAACTTGGTTGAGCTATTGGTTGTTGCTAGAAAATCTGGAACCACTTAGATCAACTGAGCCTCAGCAATAGGTTAAACATCCTGTGCAGGGTGTTCTGGTGCAGCAGGAAAGGCACTGAAAAGCCCAGCAATAAGGAGACAGCTTGGGGAAAGCCCTGCTAATGCATGCCCCAGACCAAGCTGAAACAGCAAGCTCTGCAATGGAATAAATGTCACTGATTCAGCTGATATAAATGTGGCCCATGGTAAAAATGAATCCAAACCAGTAACTCTTCCTGTATGTTGTATTTCTTTTGTTACTTCCCTGTACATTTCAATTTCTAACAGAGAAAAAGGGTCAAATTACATGTTGATCTAAAGTGGTGCAACTCCATTAAGGTACATGAAAAAGCAAATCATCTACGCTAGCAGAGAACTCAGTTACAAACAATCCAGCACCACAGAGGGATGTAACTACTTCCAAACCAACAGCCCATCTTGGAAGGTAAATCATCTTGGTTACCACTTAAAATAGGGGGATCAACACAGACATCTCCAAAACAGTTCACTCTGTGCAGCAAAAAACCAAATATATAACTAGAAGATTTATTCCTGAAAATACTGTCAACCCCTCCTTCCATTTATTATGCAGCTTAACCAATTGATAACTGACCAACAAATTGTTTTGTATCTTGCCACTTCTTCTCCTGCATAAAAATAAAATAAGATAAAAACTACTTCTGTGGACAAAATAATAAAGTGTGGAACAAAAGGAGCAGGACACAGCACCTGTTGGAAGCTCTCTCTCAAATGGCTTTGGTCTTCAGGATGGCAGAATTCTAAAATATCTTTCCCCAGAAGATCCTAGAATAAAACATAAAGCTATGTAAAAAACCCAAAATACAACACAAATCCACATGTAGACCTCCAAGTCATTTTTGCAAACACAAGATCGATCACATTTAACAAGACTACTCAGTTAATCAGGAATGAACCACACAAACAAGGTTTGTAGGCATAATGCCCCATGTTTTTACACAAAAGTTTAAGTTATTTTCTACTACCTCTGAAATGGTGTCTTGAAAAGACTGACATCTGCTACTACAGCTCATTTTATGGTATTAATTTTTGTAAAAACACTTATTATAAAGCAATTTAAAATAAAAAAAAATGTGTACAATAAAAAAAAAAATGAACACGGAGCTACTTTTGCCTCTAAATTGCAACTGCTGGGAGTTATCTGAGGAAGAGCTGTAGTTCATTTACTATTCTACTCAGTTCTGTACTAGCCTCCTGTTCAGAGGAGCAGATGTAGCCTAAAGGAAAATAGATGCTGTAAATTATGTTTGCTTACTGTTCAAGAGACTAGCAGAATCAAAGGTCTACAGGACTAAAACTCTCTCCAAGCACTGTTAACTTTCTGTCACAGAAATGTCTTCATTGGAAAGCTGTGCAAGGTTCAGAGGACTCTGCTGTTAGAATTTTAATCAGATCTAAAGGTATAAACAGATACCCCACACAGAGGCGTGGACGGCAATGAAAAACAAACAGCATTCAGCACCCGATGTATGAATTACCAGCTATAAATACTTCATGTTTTCAGATGGCATTTTCTGCATTAGCTCCACCCATTCTGCACATTCCCAGTGGCCACAGACCTGGGGCTGGTAGCCAATGACACTGATGCACCTTGGGTCCACAAAGGTGATGACTCCATCGGAGTTGTGCCGGGACAGGAACTCCGTGGGGACCGACATGCCGTTCATGTCCATGCACACAGGAGAGCTGGTCACCTAGGGCAAGAGAGCCACACCAGTCACCCAGAGCCACATCTGACCCACAAATAAAGGACAGAATGTGCTGGCACACTGCTAGCAGCTGAAGGAAGTAAAATAAAACAACAGCACAGATAAACGGCAGAACAGCTTTAGTCCGGTTTGCAGGGCAAATATCTCACCCCATGGCATCTACTGAGGATTAACAGCCAGCAGAAAAACAAACACACCAGAGGTTCCCAGGAAGGGGGGATATACTGAGGATGAAAGTCCAGCTGGATTCATCTCACTTTGCAGCACATCAGGCATCGTGGTTCCTATCTCTGTCAACCAAGAATGAACGACTTGCAGGGCACAATGCAATCCACTCAGGAAAGGAAACCAACCCATTATCTAACCTTTCAGATGACATGAATCTCACCTGAAACACCTACAGAACCTGAGCCAGGTCCTCCAGAGGCTGAGGTAGGGGATATTAGACCAGCAAGTGGCTGCTCATAATGAAAAACACAGTTCTCTGAATACTTCTCAAATCTCACCAGAGGGAACTGTGTGTTTTCAGCTCTCTGCCTGAAATCTGTGCTATCAGGCCACTTCATATGCATTCCATTTTTCAGTCTGAAATCTGTGTTATTAGGCCACTTCATATCCATTCTTTCCCACTGAAGGTGTAAAGGAGACCACTGATTCTTTTACATCTTCCAGAGCCATCTCTGCCAACAATGCAAAATGAGCAAAATCTCCTTTTTTTTGCTAACTCAGAGCTGATTAGCCAGTTCACCATATGCAAGATTTCAACTTGCTGTTAGAGAACAAGAGTTTTTAATTTGTGCACCCTGACTCCTTTCTGACTTAACCCACCACAGAGCTTCTTCCTGCCTGCCCTCACATACCACAATGGGTCCTCTAACGTAACAGACATCTTGACATTACTTGGAAATAATTTTTCTTTGGAAGTCGTAACACATGAATCCCCATAACTTCCTTCTTTCCATTAGTGGAATATATTACTCTTAATTATGAAAGCATTATAAACCTGAAACCCATGCTGCAGTACTTGTGTAGCTCTGCCATGGCCATGGAGAGCCACTCTGCAGATGTGCTAACATCTGCAGGCAGTTCACCTCAGGTAAAATGGGTCTGGCCCCTGTGAAAGGGTCATTCCACCTTGTCAGGAGGAGTGATCCCCTCCTAGCAGATGGCAGTGAGTGCAGGGGATCATACAAGAGGCTCAGATACGATCACCCATGGAGGGATTCCCAGACCAGGAAAATAAAAACTGTCCTCCCTGCTGTGGGGAAGGAGATTTACCACGGCTGCTTTAGCTCAGAGCTCTGAACTCTGCTCAGAAATGCACTACAACAATTGCAACCATCTGCACAAAAAGGAAGGAAAATTTTATTTTCCCAGTTCCTTCAGCTCACATCTCATCTGAATGCATAACACAATACACACTGAGAATAAAGCTATGATTTCTGGAGTGCCTCTTGACTGCTTTATCTTCACCATTTTCAGGATAGCTCCTGCAATCACAGTTTTTCAAGCAGTCAGAGAGTGAATGACTGGAAAAATGGCAGGGAGCATATCACTGGCTCTGGGGGTCACTTTAACCCAGCACTTGCAGCACCTGCACTGCCACATTTCTCACCACCTCCAACACCCCAGCCCTACACACACTGAAGAGTGGCAGGTCTGTGCACACTCATCTTCAGGAGCATCTCTGCTGCTCTTACTGGATTAAGTACACATATCCAGCACCAAAATCACAGTTTCATTTTGCTCTGCTGGTAGAAGTCACTGACTGCACAGACATCAAGGCACTTTATAAACTGGAGGCATGTTAAAAGTTACAATCTAGTAGGAAAACAGTGTGCAATTCTTTTATAACCACACCAGAACAATGATCATGCTTTCAGAAATAGTTTATATATGGAAAAATTTGCATTACCTGAAGCCTTCCTATTGCCACGAGGCAGTATTTACTACCTTGTCCCACATCAGCATCTTCTTCTGGTATGGTCATTCCTGGAGTAAACAATGACAAATATTGTTATAATTAGGAAATTGGAGTAAACAGAGATGCTGCTGTCCTGGCTCTGTACTTTCCTAGATGCTCCAAATCTTACAAAATAACCTCATTTTCTTCTCTATGATTCAGTCACTATTTCCGGGTTCAGATGAGACAATGCTTCGCAGTTGTTCTCAATGCTACATACCCCACATGTATACACAGAACCCACAGCAGCAATTTTGGCTGCTGAAGACAAAGCAGACACTAAAATTCCATTATACACCAAGATGGACAGTAACATTTTCATGAGTGCTGCTCCACCAGCACGTTATGGAACCACGGGGTCACTTAACATGGTCAGTGAAGGCACACTATGTTCAGTTTTCTTTGTGAATAATATTTTATAATGAGCCTTAAAAACAAGGCACAGCCTAAATTAATCACTAATTCTGTGCTCATATTGAGCAGCTGGTTTTACTTTTTTCTATAATGGACTAAACCTGCGTGGTTACGTTGAAAGACTGAAAAAAATGCGGATGCTTTGCTAACACTGCTTGTTCCAGCTCTGTAACAGGAGTAACTACTATAAACACAGGAACAGCTTCCAAACATACATGTGTACTATTTTCCATCTCAGTGTTTCACAAATAGGAACATTCAGATTAGCACTGTTTACTTGCTTGCTGGCTAAGCCTTGAGCTAAGGCTATTTCCCAACTCCAGCACTGAGATACCAAATTCATGTAAAACTCTTGAAAAAACGTCTTCCAGGAGTGACACCACTGACCTATTTTAAGTGATCTGTAAACTCTTTCACAAGGATTTCCAAGGAATTCGGTCATAACAGGCAGTGAATCATTTAAGAGGCACTTCAAAGCATTAACAAAATTAATTGCAAAGCAGCTACCATTTCTGAAACAACTTTATTTTTGAAATTTATAATCCCCAGTGTAAGCCAATCTTTGGACAGTCCAGATGATGACAGCACACCACTTTCGTAAATGACACCTCTGAAAAAGGACTAAAAATGCTGCTGAATGGAGTCATCTCTGAGGATGTTATTTTGTATCAAAACAGTTGAATCTTATCTGACAATCAGTATTCAAACAGCATTTTACAGGTATTTTTTGGTCTTCACGGAACTATACAATAAAATAAAGTACACAAAGTATGAAGGAAACTGTCCCATGCTTTTGTATAATATACTGAAACTTGTTCTGCAATAATCTTACAATCTGGGGTGCACAACATTATTTGCAGCCCCCTACTGATAACTAGAATTTTATCAAAGGGAGCTTTAAAAAAGAGCAGCATTATTATCTCATCTAACAAGTGCAGTTTTAAGGACACAACTCTAAGCATTCCAGTTGGATAACCTTAACCAAAAGATCCCTTTCAAATGGTGTTTTTTATTTGAGAAGGACACATTTGAAATATATTTGAAATATATTCCCTTGACCTCAAAAGCTTTTTCCAATCATTTCCTTAGTGGCAGAGAGTATTGCAAAGGACAGCAAAGATACAGCTGGACAGCTTCCACTTTGCATAATCTTTTTTTTTTCTCTGTAGCTTTCAACAGTGATTACCATTTTAGGAACTTGGTCCATGCTTGCTACTGCTCAAATAAAATCAAAGTAACATAAACAACGCCCAAAATTAAACCTAGCTAAGAAACATTATTTCTGATGTCACTCTGTTGACAAAGGGAGGCTGTTGTTCTAGCTTTCATCTTTTTTTTTCCCCCTTTTGCCCAAGATGGATTATATTTGGTCTGTATAGCAAAATGGAAAATGTCTTAGTTGGGTTATGCCACAAGACCCTGTATGAATAAAAGCCAATCTGCCTGGAATTAATCAATACATGACCCAGTGGATTATCAACCCCTTCCCAAAGTGCCTGGAGAAAAAATATGACAAAAAGATTTTATGCTTCTCTGCAATGTAGGTGCTATTACTGGCAGCATTCCACAGAGAGAAATTATTTTCTTTATTCTTCAGTTGATATTTTCAAAGATTCGGCTCTGGGTGTCTTTATTTGTAGATGAGATTTACTTTTGCTTTAGCATATTTCCTATTGAACACACTCCATTATGGACAGGTAAATGAAGATGTGCACTGCACTTTCTACCACTTTGTCCAGCTCTTAACCCAATGCAATATGCTCCTTAGCAGCACCAAGTACCATCATTATCTCTAAAAAATGTTGTACAAGCTTCGAGGAAAGCAGCCACGAAACTGACCTTTAGGGGGCATCAACAAAATAAACATCCTTCAATTATTCACATTGTTTATGTGTAATCCTGGGAGAGGGTTTATTTCTCAACACCAAATATACACCCCTCTAAAATAATAAATACAGTGCTGTGCTTGCCTGAGTTCACATCAACAACTGGCACAGCTAAGCTGCAAGTGAGCATCACAAATAGAATGCTGTGCCATCAGAGGTTATATTTAATTTCCAAGTGTCCTCTATACCAGCAAACAGTTTCCCACAGCACAACACTGTGTGTTGGTGTGGACAGAAAGAACTTTTTAGTTTTCCCAGTGAGCTTCCAGTTGGCTCTAACAACAGAAAAGCAAATTCTGCTTTCTTCTGCATATTCATTTTCTGCTTTCTTTCTCTACCCTTCTGCCCCACATCTTCTGTGAGACACAGAACAGCGTTGGTGCGTTTATGGTTTTCTTTCACTACACTAAAAAAGAAATAATTTCTAATTCTTTAAAAAGATGGAATTTAAATATCCAGTGGTCGCTATCAATCCCCTGATAATGCCTGTCTTCATTAGAATCACTTCAGATAGTTACTTGCCAGGGAAGGAACTACACTGTGTGACTTTATCTCTCACATAAAACAATGGAAAAAGGCTTTCACAAAAAAGGCTGTGGATAGCATACTAAGGATAAAAATCTCGTGAAAAATCCCAATAAAAAACAAATTAACCACTCTTTATAAAAATAAATAAAGCCTTAAAAAATGACAGCACTGCAAGGAATATTCAAGCAACTATTTTGTTTTGTATTGGAAGAGGGAGTAGTTTGCACAAACGTCCAGATTCTGGCCAAAACTTTAAAATAACCTAACAGCTTTGGCATGCTGTGGTTAAGATGTTACCGTAAGTCTGACTTGGAAGACTAAAATGTTTCTTTTTTAACTAAAGAGAAAAAAAAAGATTTCAACATTATCTGAATTTAACATTATTCTGTGACTCTTTATTTGAAGTTTCAAAATATGTATCTATCTCTTTGCTTCACTATGTGCTTTTGTGCAAGATCCTGGCCTTGATTTACAGAAAACTACCAAATTCCTGACAGACTTTATCTTCTCTCTCTACCAAATCTTATGCCACAAAAAGAAAGCAAAACAAACCTATTAGGAAAATATCATATGGACCACAGAAGACTCATTTCCTTCCAGGAATGAGATATTCAGAGGGGGAAAAAGGAGAAAAGAAGCAAATCTTGCTTAAGTTGAAAACAGGAACAAAACCCAGGAGAAGGTCAGCACTTCTTAGTTTTATGACTGGTTATGAACTTGAAGCACTGTCTAGGCTGAGGATCACAAACTGCATCAGAGCAGCCTCACTGGGAACAGAGGGACAAATGCTGGGATTGCTGCTCAGCCAGCCTCAAACCAGGGGTCCTTTTACCTCATTCCAAATAACCCAACTTCACACTGTCATTATTTAACCAAACATACACCATGACTGGCTGGAACATCCATCTGAGACATCTGACTGCTTTTTCCTTTGACTTCCACACCAAGTTTACATCTCATTTCTTGAGGCCAGCATATGGGGATACAAGTGTGCTGTCTTTCAGGTGGAGAAAAATGAACAGACCCTTAACACACAGCCTGAACTGAGGCTGTTTTGTCTCCCCTTTCTCAGTGAAGAAGGGGCTGAAGACAGTGTGCCAGTACATGAGCCTTGCTGCTCCACACAAATGAGAAAAACCACAAAGGCAGGCTGGATGTGCCAGTGTTGTCATGCTGAACACAGACCTGAGCCATAACACAACAAACCCAGCCCTTGAATTACACCACCAGCTGTCTGTAGCTTATTCATTTTCACCTGTTTGAAGTACTCAGATTACTCCAGATTTGCAGACTCCTCCCTGCAGCAGCACTGTCAAATAGTCTATCCCACCAATAATGATCACAAAGCAGTTCTTCTCTTGATGCTTCTGTGCCAACACTGATTTATTCAGTGTGGGACCAAAAAAACTGAACATTGGCCACAGACAATGCAATTCAACCCAGAAAGAGAAAATACCAAGTGCTAAACAAACGAGACTAAGTACAGATGAAAGGTATTTGATAATATTGTGAAATATTATCTTTGTACTGTATATTAGCTTATATTACTGTATATGCAGTGTGGCATGTGCATATATATATATATATATAAGCCACATTGTATGCTTTGAAAGAAAAGGATCTGGATTTTATACCAGTGTCCACTTGGCAACTGAAAAATAAATGAAAATTATCTTTTTGATCACTGAATTTTTAAACAGCTGTGATTTAGCACATGCCCATTTATTCCCAAGAATCCAGAGACCATGCAGGGCTTGCTGATTTCAACAAAGTAATTTTATTACAGGGTAGAGAAGCCTTGGCAAATTCCATTACTGCTGTAGTTATCTCATTTGCTTTGCAGATTATGGTCGGATTACCACTGGAAATGAGAACAAATGGAGTGATGTTGTCACTTATTTACTCAAACATACAGGGGAACAATTGAGCCCACGGATATCCCCATCAACTTTGAAAGTCAATGGATACATGACAATCACCAACACAAAGTGGGGAAGAATAGGAAGGCAAATAAACACTCATGAAAAAGACCCTGATTCAATTCTGTGTGCCCTGGAAAAGGCACCCAGACATGACTAATAGAAGTAACAATTTGGATGGTAACATAAAAGACCAATGAAATTCCACATAAGGCTGTCAAAATCAAAAACATCCCTTAGGATTAGTTTGGAGGCATTAACATTATGGAGGAGCACTGGGATATCATAAGGAGCACCATGTGATTTTGTGGAGTGGAGTAATAGAAATGGGATGACATCCAACATTACTAAATGCATAAGCATGCACTTGGGGAACAGTAACAGTCATAAGCTAAACCAACAGAAACAGAATGGAACTTGATATTACTAATTGAAACATCACACAATTCAAAGCAAGATTTGCAGCTGACAAGTGAGAAAAAGGCAACCTGGAAGACATAAAAATTTGTATCAGATGTCTTAGGACGCCTGCAGGATGCACCACACAAAAGAGAAGGATGCTGTGTCCTACACTGCCAGGCAAGACAGGAAATATTGTTTGTGTTATCCATCACTACAAAATAAGAATCTGAAATAAGAACGTGTAGTGCCAGTGACCTACATTTTGTGAAGTGAAGTGAAAACATGAAGAACTGCAGAGAAAACCCACAAGGGTAAAGAGAATGCACTCTGAGAATGGAAAGCAGAGGTGGCCTGGATTGTCTTTGCAAAGTCTAGGCTGACAGGATATAACCTCCTTCTGGAAACACATCAGAACACTGGAGAGACACAGAGGCACTGGTCGAAACTCCCATTCGACCTCCAGTGAAATAAAAACTTCTCATGAAGTAATAAGCAGCAAGGTTTTGGAAGAGTTGAGATGGGAAAAAGATCTCACTATTGCCAACTGGGATTTGCAATATGATTGATACCTGGCCATTGGTATGAAGATCCTTTTAATCCCAAGCTGCTGTCCTGCAGAACTGGTGGCTGAAGGGCACACACTGCCATGAGTTCATGCATGTGTAGTTCTGTATTAGCAACATACACCCCTGAAGAGTCAGATCTCTTTAAACATCCCATAACATGAGGCAAGATTCTCATTCAGGCTAAACAAAATCTTATTTGACCTACACCTTCTTGAGTAGACACCCCGTATTTCAAGGTTGAATTCAACTGCATTTAGAATTACCAATAGAAAACTAAATCTTTTTGTAGAAGAAAACAAAACAGAACAAAACATCAATTTTCAGAGCACTCTACAGACACTGTGCTCTCACACTTTTGAGAGAGAAGCAAAATTGGAACATCTTGACTCCTATTAAATCCTATTAGCAACAAGAGGGGCAGTTTTCCTCTGCTTCCAAAACTGCATTTCAGCAAAAAACAACAAGAAGTTCACATCTGCACACCACTGCACACATTTGGTACAAACCACCTCTTAGGACTCATAATCCCTGGATCAATGTGATTTATGGCCGTGGTGTACAGCCACAAAAGGGCAGGACAGCTCCTGGTTTGATTCTTTGACTCATGCCAGCAGGCGCTGCCACATCACAAACAACCTCTTCAACTCCTGCAAACGCCAAGGTCAGGTAACCCCACTCATCATGGGGTCTGGATGAGCTCCACTGTCTCCTCCTGGAATTTTTCAAAGGTAAATATTCCCATAGGTAACACTGAGTTCCAGCAGGTAAATGTTTTTCTCCGTAGATCAAAGCAGCATGCCAAGACTTGATTCCCAGAAAAACAGCCTCAAAACAGAATTTATCACAAATACTGAACATTCCCAAGTAACACCATTACTGAGAACTTCCATGTGTCTGAAGTGAAATTACACATTTTCATACAAAGGCGCTGGCAATTCAGTACTTAAGTATAAAAGCAATAACTGCTGTTTTCTAGAGGTACACAACCCTTTGTGTCCACCGTCTTAAAATGAAATCATTTTTATATTGGTTTATCAACATAAGTTGAAAACTTTTGGCCCCAGTTTGTGGAATCCTGCATTACTGGCAATTCCTACAGGTCCTCTGTGACAACAAAATTGAGAAGGGTGCCACAGGGAAAACAGGGATGCCCTGAGTGAGTACAACACCTGATTTATTCTTATCGACAGCTTCTCAAAGTGAGCTTTAATCAGCCACCCCACTAAAACTCTCCCTGTTTTTCTATCAGCAAGGAAACCTGAGCCAGGTTTTCAGCTGTCCTAAGGACAGTTTGGTGCATACTGTCTTCTATAAGGGATACAAACCTGCTGGTGGCCAAGCCTTGATATAGCCAGTGCAATGGACAACAGCATATTGTGCTTCACCTTCTTTCACTGGACCCAGGCCATTCCTGAATGAGCAAGAAACACAAAAACATCACATTGACATGCAGAACAGCTTTATGCTTTCAAACTATGGCTGCTAATGGCTTATCAGTATTTGTAAGTTATGCTGGAAACACCTGAGAATCAACCTAGGGTTCTGTACTGCCAGCTCTGTTGTGCTGCTATTCAAGCTGTACACGTTTTCTGTAATATTTCTCTGAGAAATTGAGAAATTTCTCTGAGAAGATTGATTCAGAGCTGGAGCTGGTGTAAGACAAAGAATCTGAGTGACACATGCAAGAGATTTTGTTTGCAAAAGGATCCAGTGTGTGCAGGCAACACTCCTGGAGTGGGCATTAACCCAGTGCAAATGAGAGGGCTTAGGGCAACTACAGCTGCTTTGTGGTAAATTCAGTAATAGTACCTGTATCTTTTCCTCATGGTGGTTATTCTGTTCAGAGGTAAATGATCCAGAGGAGCATTTCCACACCTAAAAGTAAATTGATATTTTAAAGGGCTCAAAAATTAATATAAATACACACGATAAAAAGGCATTTTGAGATTCTTACAACATATATAAGAAGACAATAATAGATGTTCCTGGCAAAAAGTTGCATATTCATGTTTATGTAGGACATGCTGCTTCCACAGGCTGAGCTTTTTAGATGTGCTATAAAAATCTGCTTTATTTTAGAAAAATGAAAGAGACTAGAAAAAGATTCCTGTCCACACTCCCCCAGTATAAAGACTGTTTGAAATTGATATCCCAAGGGTGGCTAAAGAATAGACACACTTCAAAATGCCATGAAACAGAGGTGAAAACTAGAGAAAAATATGTCAGGTCCCAAATATCCACACAAACCAATCTCAGTGCTCCTGTGGCTTCCCTTGACAGAAAAATTCCACTGCCATACACCAGCTACAATGTCTGTGGACATTACGTTAATGTTTGCAAGATCAAACTATTTACACTGTCAACTAACTTTGTTTAACACTTGTTCATGTGTATTTTGTGATATTTATAAGTATGCCTAACTGTAAAATTTCAACAATCCATCTGAAGCTGAGTAAATAGTTTGAAGGGTAAAAGCAGTTCATTTTTAATGGAAAAATAATAACAACAATGAAAGAAGAAACCACAAGGAAGGTTCACATTATCTGAGGTCCATTCTTCCCAGAAGGTTTTTTTTTATTCCTTTAATTTTTTTTTCTTATCAGTCACTGCCAAGGAGAAGAAATGAACAACTAAAATAAGATTTAGAAATAAAAAAAACAGTGGGGTTAGGGAAATGAGTAAAATCACTCTCATGCACTGGAGTTTACAGAATCAGGGTGCTAGGAAATGACTGCAATCTGAACTGTTTTGAAAGCTGGGGAATAACTCCAAACAGGACACTAGGCCTGGTTTTCTTTGCACAAACAAGATGATGTGCATCTTGGGAGGAAGAAAAATCAGTGTTCTCAGTGCTGCTCTGTTGGGCTCTATTTCTCACCCAGTTATGGGTGAAAAAGGTTCTACAGCTCTGAGGCCTGATTTCAAAGGTATAAAGTCTATAAACACCCTACAAAAGCACCCAGGAGCCTTCATTCAGCACCCTCACAGGACTGAAAAAAATCCACCACATTACCAAAGTACAGGTATCTGTAGTTTAATGTGCTTTGTGTGTTTCATTCTGTAATGAAGTTTGCAGTGCTGTTATCACCATTTATACTGGACATAGCCTACAGATACAATTATGTACTTTCCCCTCCTAACCACAGACAAAAATTTATTGCAATAGGCAAAAGGCATTTTAGCCTGTTAGCACTAAAACAGGATAAGTGCACACAAGCCCCCCCAAAAAAGCACTGGGCAGACAAATCTCTTTAAAGAAGCCCAAACAATGCAGGAGAAGTTGGAAAATTGCAAATCAAAAGCCCTCTAACAATTACTCATTTATCTAGCATCAGCCAGCTGACATCTGGTTAATTCATACCAGGCTTAGGCTAATTCCTACATAGCTGGCAGGTTTGCAACTGAATTCTTGTTTATCTTTAAGATTCTTTTAATATTCTTGGTTTGCTGAAAAAATACACAGAGCTGGGTGTTCATAACAGTTGTGAAAGCTTCGTTCCCAAGGTATTGATTTGAGCAACTTTACTAGAAAAGAATGGCTGAAATTCCAGGGGTGAAGCTGTTCTCTGGAAAAAGCAACCTACATCCCACACTCATAAGAATAACTACAACAGAAATGAGGTGCTGTTTTGTTGGTTTCTCCATAAGGAAGACAAGTTTCAGTTTCACTCCAGTTCCTAAAGCAAGTATTCTAGAAATACTGCATGGCAGCGTGTCATTACAGCTTTAGTTTGTAATCAAGGCCAGATTAGTGCAACAAAATGTTTTTCTAAGCTGAGACAGGACTGGAACCCTGATGGAGCACAGGGTAAATGCATACCTCATCCTGCAGATGAATGAGCGCCTGGATCCCATGCACATTCTCATGGAGGACTGCTGGCCTTCCTTCTTTACTGTCCCTGTCTTCAAGTCCAGGATTCGTCCTAGAAAGGCCAGGGAGAGCAACTGGTGTTCAGTACATAAATTTAATTCCATTTATTAGAAACTAAGATAACAAGAAATTCATGAGGTGAATGCCAAAAAAATACCAACAAAAAAAATCTTGATCCTGGTCTCAGAGGGGAGGATCAGTTATGTGCTGGTTTAACTAAATATTTCAGCAAAGCTGACTCTGAGCCACAGGAGTGATGGCTCTTTTCTCAGCTGGCCCAAGACCAACTTCCAGGGCAGAGTCAAGTGCCTGGAGGCAAACAAGGCAATGACAGCAGGCACAGCTTTTGACTTGATCTGCTTGCTCCACTACTTACCAGAACTGTGGATAAAGCAACATTTATCAGTCCCCTGACAGCTGCTGCTCTTTCTCTGTGCTTGTGCCTATCCAGAACACTCTCACCACAGCACCACCTCAGTCACAGCTGTCAGGGTGGTGAGATGCACAAAAGACCAAACTTTTCTCCTTGATGATGAGATACAGGATTTGTCACAACAGTCCTTGTGCTGGAGCCCTTTTAAAGCTGCTAAACACCTGACATGTCAAGAGCATTTCTAAAGTTTCTTTTCAGACAGATCAGTGAGATGATTTGATTCACTACACAGAAACACAAGCATGTGCAAGGTCCAGGGCCAGACCCTGCTCCCTACAACCCTCAGAATCACACACCAGAGGCACAGCCTGGCAAAGGGCTGACAGCCACCAAATCAACTCAAGTGAGGACAGGAGGGAGGGAATGCATGCAAAGGTATGAAGGAGGTAACATATTAATTTTTTCATTTAAAACAGAAGATTGATTACTACAGACAGGTTCAGATCAGGGATTTGAGTATCAGGCAGAATCCTTCTGCTTATCTCCAAAGAACTCGCAGAATGGATTTTCACATCGACAGCTCAAGTGCTAAGAAATGACTACAAAACCTAGCACAGACTAGAAATGAATCACTGGACCAGCTCCACAATGCTCAAGGGCTGGATGCAGCCACAGAAGTGACAGTGGGCCAGAGAAATGCAGAGGAACAGCTGCCAGGCATTAGATGACAGCCACCAGTGCTGACAACACATGGCCATGAGCAAACCCACGTGTTTAAGGTGGGTATCCTTCAGCAACTGAAACTGTACAAGCCTAAGCCTTCACTGTGGTGCAAATAGCCAGGTTTACACAATGTAAGGCACCTACTCTGTCTGTACTGAATTGAAGAAAACATGCAGAACACATCAAAGTCTCCTTCACCAGACTGACCTAAAAGTCTCTGTCCAAAAATGAAGTTCTGAAATAAATCTACTGCCAAACACTAAGTTCAGAATTACTCTACCTCTAAATATTTACTTCCATCCATGATTAGGAACAACACCATTACATAACAGTTTTAAGATAAGGAACTAGGCAGCAGTGTTTCAGTATTAAGGTATTCTCCAGATAACTCCTTCTGGAGGAAAGCCACCCTGCCAACAGAAGGTCAGACCTCACTTGGTGTTATCTCCAAGGTATACCTCAGATGGTTAAGAAGTCAGCAAGCCTGGGGAACAACTCCTAAAGGTGCTGGTTTGTGATTCAGGTGTGAGCTGGGAAGAAATCACACCAATTTCCCAGCTCAGCTGTGCTGACCCCACGATGCAGGATGCTGAAATTTTAACACACCTCCCTCCCCTGCACTGGACAGTCTGTCACATTTTCTACAGCCAAAGTCACAGTCTGTTTCCCCATCCCACCAACTAATCAGACAGTTTGGAGAAATAAAATACCATCAGGCAGGAGGCAAACTCATTCACAAATGAAGGCAATATACAAAAAAGAACATAAAGACAGGATATATGTGCAGGATCATTGGCTGTCCATGTCAACAGGCCAGTCAAATCAAACCACTAATAGCAATACTCTCTTAGGGCAAAATAACTTTGTCATACATGCAAACAAAAGTTGTCTTCTGTGCACTTTCTTTTTTCATTCCAATACAAATTCTTGAAGAGACACCAATATTAATCAAAAAGTACTGACAGTGAATGTAACTCAAGCAGCTAATAGAAATTTCTCTGGTTTTGTCATCCAAGAACATCTATAGCAAAAAAAAAAAAAAAAAAAAGATATTTCACAATTATGTGGCCACTAAGCCTAAAATTGCTGACACATGTTCCTTTGGCATGTCTGGAACCCCCAACAACAAAAGCCAGAGATTTTAAATTTAGCTTTTTGTTTGGCACTGTCTTTGAAATATGTACCAGATAACAAATAGAGTTCTAAATTTTGCCCTGACTTACAAAATCACTGCAGGGGGTATGTGAGTCAGAGAAATGTTTGCTGTACTGTTATTATGACAAAGCTCTCTCTGCAGCTTGTTTCAACAGTCCAGCATGCATATGTCAACCTTGCAGAGCTCTAACAATACACTACAGATTCTGAAATAGAACAAGCAGTTTGTGTCTCATCTGCCATTAGAATCTTATGATCAAATTATATTTAAAAGAGGAAGAATTATAAATTAATCATAGCTAAATGTCAATATATAATTAATTATAGATTAATAGACTAAATCAAGCAAACTGACATAAATTGCACTTTAATCACACTGGCAGCTCAGCTGGCATATCCTGGTGATAGCTCTGTCACAGAATCATAAAGTATTCCTATCTCTGTTCCAGCATCCTTTGTGGTAAATGCTCATTTATGTTTCTCCATGGGACAAACACAAAGCACACGTGATGCTGAACTTGGAAATTACGTTCTTATTAATAAGAAATATTCCAGGATGCTCTGACAACTTCTGCTAACTGAACAGTGCATGTGTGTATTTTTTTTTTTAATTTCTCATTCTGGTTTCTTCAGAAGAGCCATTTAACAGCCCAGTGCCACCACCAGCTGGATCCTTTACGAGCTTCCCCATAAACTGTTAATTGCATGTAGCTCATTTTGGTGTTAAACTTTTCCCCTCTCCAGCTCCAGACACAACCCTGGGATGCAGCAAGTGCAGGAGCACTGCTGTGACTGACACTGCTGCCTTATTGCCCTTTACAGCAGCTGCACAGCTCAGAGGAAACCAGAGTTTGCTCTGCTGAGAAGGAGAAAGCAAACAAATGAGCACAATGCTGATTAAAATGGGCACATAAATCTCTTTGGCTGGTCTGGGTATAGTTGGTAATTTGTTGAAATCTCCCCACTACAGTCCCCATCCAGAAGGCAGTATTGCTTCAACTTGCAATAAAGCAGTTGTTCTCCAAGCAGGAAACCACAGTGTGATCCAGGAACCTGATGTCAGCTGCTGTGACAGGGAAGGGTTGGCACACAGAGCTGAGGACAATGGGCAAGCTCATTATTTGGGTAGAATCAGAGAAGCCACATAAAGCTCTTACCAGCAAAGAGATAACAGATTCAAGTACTGAGGACACATGCCAGAAACATTTCCTGCAGGGTGTTTTTCAAAGATGCTCTAAAAACAGTCTCATGATGATCAAGGGGCAAATGCTCACGTTGGCACTGATGTGTCCCTTGCGTGTGCAAACAGTGACTGGATTATGCACAAACCTCCTCCTTTTGGGGCTCCAATTGCTACTGAAAATGTTCAAACTTGTGTTCTGTGCTTGCAATGTTTTGAGATGAACCTAAGCCAAGGATTGGCCTGAGCCTACTGAAGTTCATGGGGTTTCAAATCTGGGAATTTGGCTCAAATCCACTTTCACACAATAGCACCAGCCTGTTAGAAAATTTTCCTCCATGTTCATGCACTGTATGCTAAGGTTTATAGCCTGGTAATCAAACACAGTCTGTTCTTTTTACATTTTTCAGATTTGGTTGAGTTTTTGGTTTTCTGTTTTTTTTTAAATTCAAAACTCCATAAACTTCAACATCTAATTCTACCACAGATGCTTTTTTCTCTGCTGGATTCCCAGTTCCTAAGAATGCTGCAGTCTGTCACTAGAAAGAAGGGTTGTTACATAAGCACATTCTTCTGCTAAGATTTCAGTGCAAGTTGAAATGGTTTGGTCTAAAACAACCCTGCAGTGCCCACATCCAGTCTGCAGCATGGAAAAACCCAGCTCATGGATCTCAGAAGACATTTGGTTTGGCCTGACATGCACAGAAATACTGCTGGCAAAGCACATGATACAATTTTCCATTTCCCTCTAACTCATCAGTAGATGGACTCCTGCACAGAATCATGGATCTGATAGGGAAACCGCCTGAATTAATATATGGACTCTAAACTTTACCTCAATACCTTCAGCAACCCAGCAAGTTTCACCTTTTAGATGATAATGTCTTGTCTTATAAAGAAGAAGTTAGATATTTCATAATTATTCTCAGCCACCGATTGTCCACATATTTCTTTCCAGGAAAAATAAAATAAAGGATAAACTAAGTTTGGTTTGGACAAGATAACAAAAGATGACTTTGTGTTCATCAAAAATACTCCACAGGCTTCTCAAGGAAGACAAACAGAACACAGGAATACTGCACCCAAAAATCCTTATAAAAACTAAAACCATCTTTATCTTACTATAAAAGCGGAAAAAGCAAGACCAGGATGGAGGAAATAATTAAAAATAAAAATAAAGTGATGGTCAAGCTACTGTTGCTGCTGAACACAGCTCCAAATGTAAGCTCACCCTCAAAATGAAAGGTCAGAGAACAAAGGATTTCCGTGGTGATGTTCTGTATTAGTACATTAAGTCCTTAGAAATTAGCAGAAAAGATCAGCTTAAAAATTTTTGACTGCTCTACAGTTTCTAGAGAATCAAGATCCAGGTCACTGTTTGAGACAAACAAGTTAAAGACGACAAGGTGAAACTCTTCTTGAACCTGCCATTTATCAGTTTACACACATGCACTGACTACAGCTGAGCATTCACCTTTACACAACTGAGGTGCTCAGCTGACAGAGCTCTTTTTAAAACAACAGATGCATTACAAATACATAAACAAAACATCTCCAATAAAACTAAATAGCCAAAATTTGATCAATTTATATTAAATTACTCTTGATAAGCTTATGCCAG